ACCATCATGTATTAAGCTGTAGAACAAGTAAAAAAGTAGCAGTCTAGTACCATCATGTGTTAAGCTGTAGAGCAAGTAAAAAGTAGCACTCTGGTTCCTCATGTGTTAAGCTTTATTTTTATGTATTTTTCTTACAAAATTTAGATATAAAATGTGTTTCAAAATATTTCAGCAAATTATCTTTAAATATAAAAATGTTATCTCTTTTTTTGTGTTTTATAAATCACCTAAAATGAAATATATGTTATTAAAAATATTTATGTTGGGAATGCTCTTAAAATTAGTATGTGACATTAAATGTATTTAAAATAGTGATACTGAATACACAATCTTCTTCACTGAAAAAATTGGAGTATTTACGTCACCTGAAGTATGTGAAAGAAGACTTTTTTTTTGTCACTTGATAACCTTTTTCATCATATCTAATGGGTGTAATGATATCCAACATGGTTTTTCTTCTCAAAAATCTAATTTCAGTTAATTTTTTTACAGACTTAAAGTTGTTTTTCTTCATCAAGTCTAAAAGAGAAACTTTACAGGTAACTGAAAGGAACTTGTTAGTTACACTGTACATCTTGGAGGCATAGTGTTCAAGCTCATCTGTTTTGCATGTCATATATGATTGGGCTCAGTTGAAAGTGTTTGGTGTCAAAATATCATTACTACAAGTTTTAGTTTTTCAAATCCATTGTGTTCCTTTAAATTTGGGCATTAAAAAAGAAGCATTTAAACAGTTAAGATTATTCTGTCTACATAGATTGTAATAATAAATATTATTGGCACTATGAAAAAAAAATAACTTCAAGATTACAATTTTGTTTTTTTACTTATATCATGTCCATGAAGGTTAGCTGAGGGATGATAAGACAACCTGTAACTAATAAAAGTGACACACCAGCCACATTTCATATTTAATATTTTCCTCTCTGCATGCTAAACTCTAGATCTTGTTTGTCTGTTGAAACATTTCAGGAAATTAGGTAGAACACTTCAGTATGTACTAATTCACTCACTGCATTAGTAAGGAAGTAATGCAATTTTTTATTAAACCGCACTGTATTTCTAAAAATATATTTAGTATTAAGTTATAGTATTTTGTCTAATTCTTTTACTCATATAGTATTTTACGTTAGATTGTGATTGAATTTTAGAAATTTATAATGAAGTGTAATAACTTAAAACACAAGATTGAGTTTTATTGTTGCAAGAACCTTTCACTTAAAACTTATTATTTAATGATTAATCTTTAAGTAAAATCACATTTAACATGACACAGATGGCAATTTATCTTGTAACTACATTATAATTTTTCAGAATCTACCTTCTCTTTAAATTAGTTAGCATTGTTAATTATTTTAATAAATAATGGTCTTGAATAATCTGCATGGATTAGGATGTTGAAGTTGTATGTGTTACATATTCTGTTGCACTCCTTGGAAAAGTATTGGTAAATTTGAGAAACATTTACTACTCTTGATTTTAAATGTTTATTATTTGTTTATTGTAATCAATTATATGTCAAGGCAAACTGTTGGCCTCAGATAGTCATAACATTTGTCATTCAGATTTGTATTTTAAACCCCAAGTTATAGGTAAACCTCATGTGCTGTGTGTGTCATTTCATTTTTCCTTGCTTTGGGTATAGAAAACATCAACAGTGTGTTTCCTGAGAATAGAATACTTAAAATCCTGCATAGTGAATGCCTATCACTTTTACCAGTACTTCTCCAGTGTGAAGATGTGTACAAGTGACAGTAAAATGATAGTTGTGATAAAGGTTATTCTCATTGTATGTCTTGTGTCGGCAGTGTTTTTGAGTTGTTAGTTTTGAGGTATAACTTTTGAAACTCGTGGTCAGAAAATTTGACTAATTGAATTTAATGGGATTTAAGAAGATAAAAAACAATTTGATTAATTTTTTGTTACTTGTCCTAACTGCTCTTTACAACTTAAACAATAAACACAATTTATTTATTTTTTGGGCCAAAGCTTCTTATTTATAATTTTCATTTTCACATTATTGGTAATTTTAATTTTGGTTTTGATAGTAAACTTTATTGTTTAGCGTGTTACTCTGTGGTTACAGTATTGGAATATGACTGACTTTATTCAAATATTTAGTTTGAAATAGTTTAAATAGTTACAAGTCTTAAACGACTCTTTCATGTCTTAATTCTGGGATATAATTGGTATTATACATGACTTAATTGCCATAATAAAAAATTGTGTTCAGGTTCTCACTTATGTCTGACGCTTGTGTAAAGCTAGCCACAAAACAAGACTTTTGTTCTTTTTTATGACTGATTTCCATGTAAAATAATTAACTTATAATGTCTTTTAGATTGATAAATCACATATTACAGTGCTTATTCATGAATGACATTGTGGGAGTGAACTTGTCACAGGACTTTACATTTCAGTTTCTTTATATCTACAATTGAATTGAGTATTGAATAGCATTTTGATCCTAAGTTGAACTAAGGAGTCTTTCATTAGTCACAAGAAGTAACTGTTGTTGTTAAAGTAAGAAGAGTAACATTCTTTGTAACAGAACAGAAAATCCTGTTGTAATCATATTTGTCGATTTTACTTTGCCTTATCAAAATATCTAATATTTTTAAACAGGACTTTAAAAACAAAACATCAGTAAATTTTATTAAGGTTTGTTACAGAAGACTATTATTTCAGCTTACATAAGATTTTATTTTCATTGCTCTGTTTCGTTTTTATCAAAAGTAGTGCTGATGTAGTTTTTCCATATTGATTGCTAAGGCTACTATTATTACATGAAGATCTAATAAGAAGGCTTAAGTAGATTAAGATTTTTTTTTAATACACCTAAATTAAAGTTTGATACTATCTGATTTCTATAATGAAGATGGAACAAATCAGCCTTGTTCTAAATATAACTAACTACTTACTATTTATTTCCTGTCCTACTATCAACCTTCCCATTTATAGTGGAGACTTCAAGTTGAATGGGGGAGACTTCATGTGTAGGATATTGAGTGTGGTGTAGGCCTATCATTGCTTCACCTTCTCAGTTGGTATGAGTAACTTTTCCCTTCAGCTTTTGATGTGCTGAAGTTGGTGGGCAGTGAGATTTGTCTCCATATATTTTCTTGGAACAAATCAGTACTTTTATTAATTTGCCTTTAACTGTGGTACATTTTTATCATTGTTTGTGTTTTGATTATAAATAATGATATAAAGAATTATAGTAAAGTTAATTGTTTATGGAGAACATGGTATTGATGTAATGATTTAAAATGTGGTTTGCATCAGTGTTGTGCAATATTATGCTGTTTAACATTTATGTGAAAAATATAAAGATTTGAATACCACCCAAAGACACAAAAGTACACTTCTTATCTTTGAAACTGTTATGAACATGGTTGATAAACATTCTTTGTTTATTCCAACATTTTAACCTGTGCTTTTTCACAAACTTTTTTGGAAAGTAAATTAAGTGAATTATAAAAAAAAATTATCCTTTCTATGTATGACTTTGTTCTGAAAATTTTATCCCATACTTGAAAGACTGACTATTAACCAGGGACTTTAAAGGCATATGGACAAGCATCTGTTATTTATTACCCAGAAAGACTTAAATAAAGGACCTAAAACATAGGCTTTATGATTAATGCACAACAGTAAACAATACTGGAAATAATGCCATTGCTTGGCATGGCAGTTCTAGCTCTATATTAAAAGACAGCCCAAAACGTGAGCAATTTTATGGGTTCATTGTTTGTTCTTGTTGGTAATGCATGTCATGCAGGATGTTGTTGTTGTGGTTCTCCATGTTGCATGCCATGCAGAATGGTTTTTTGTTATATCACTAATGTTGCATGCCATGCAGAATGGTTTTTTGTTATATCACTATGTTGCTTGCCATGCAAGATACTGTTTTTTTATGATGTACTAGGGGGAAAAAAATTAATGTTTCATTTAGCTCTTATTAATAACTTCGATATAGATGCTTGTTATGACAACTCACTTTTTTATGTCCAGAAAAAGATAATACTTAAGAAAAGGACATTTTTACTAATTTTTAAGAAGTGACTTGCTACATGCTTATGGTAAATCTAATTTTATTTGATAATGAAAAATTTTTAAATAAAAATGTTTACAAGTATACATGTAATGTATTCTCATCTACTTCAATACAATTGCAAGTGAAATTTTTAAAAAATTTATATTGTTTTATTACATTATCAGGATTAATGTGTACCTCTTGGAAATTTTTGATTCTGCTCCAATTATTATTGGTATATGTATTTTAATATTTTTTGCACGGCCTATAGTGTTTGTTCTTGGCACTACTTCTGATGTGACTTTCCTTATATATATTCCATGTTATTTCAGATGTCACATCCAACAACTAGTATAAAAGATAAACTGCAAACCAATGATTAATTGCAATAACATTTAGGAGGATTGTTCAAACAAGAAAAGAAGAGAAGAGTGTGTTAACTAGATTGGAAATTATCAATAAATATAATGTTTAATGCTTATGATAAAAAATAAAAAACTATGAAATCAGTATGGCTCAAACATTAAGAACTAGAATTATGCTACTTTTATGTGTTTTTTGGATCTATAGTTTTCTTCAAAGATCTGTTTTTCTAGGACTCGAGAAGGAAAGGTGAGCTTTTGGCAAGCAGCTATGTCAGTGAAGCCACTACTGTATCTCTGCAGATTGGTAATCCGTCGACAGACCCCTCCTGAGACAGTTGAGAATCTATTTATTCCGAAACGACTAACAAATTATTTGTTATACAAAGAATTAGAATGATTGCAGCTTATTTTACTCACTGCTGTTAAACTCCTTCAGTCTTTGATTGATTAGAATGAATTTAAAGAACGTTTTTCAAGATTGAGGTGCTTTCCTGAGAAGTATAAAATGAAATGTACTCTAACGTTAGAAAGCTATTCCCTAAACAGGTGGATAAGGCCACCAGAAACAGTTCATTCAGAGATCTTGTACATAGGTGTGTCTTGATCTAATTGTTTATATAAATATACATATATGAACTCTTTTATAATTGTACAGTATTCTTGTTGAACTCTTTGTATTTTATTTTAGAGAATACTTTTAACACCATAGAATTTTTTGAGTACATGAGTGGATCTTGGGGCGACATGGGAAGAATCTCGCCATTTTGAGTTATGTGCCAAGAATTTAAGTTTGTAAGTTTTTTAATAATGTTGAGCAAATTAGTAGCTATATCAATAAATATCAAACTGTCATTACTCAAATGTTAAATTGTTTACTCTTAGAGGAATATATTATGAATGACTTTTGTATTAAAATTCTTCAAAAGAAATAAAAGAGGATATGCAATGTGTTTTGAATGTGAAAAGAAACATTAGTTATGTAATTGTATATTTTATCAACTTTATTTAAACAGTTATGACAAGCTGATTCTCATATTTCTTATACATCTCATTCAGTACTTCATTTTAGCCCCACGACGTGGATTCCTGTATGTGGTGAGGGGACCTCTCAGGGAAGGTTTTGTAATTTCAGTTACTTCCACTGGGATCTAAACATCCACCTACGTGTTTGCCGTGCGTGGTGACCTGTGAAGGGGAGGAGAGGATCCTGGTGGTTGAGTGGTGTCT